AGTTCTTACGAAGTCTAAAGCTTGTGCTTACGTTTGGTTTTTGTTTGGTGTTTGGTGTTTTGTTTTTTTTGTTTAGTTTGTTGTTTGTTTTTTTTTGGGGGGGAGTGCTTGGTTGAGTTTTTTTGTTTGGGTTTGTTTGGTGTCTTTTTGGGGGGGTGGGAAGAATCGGGAAATAAGCAAGAAAGCTTACTCGCTGCTTCTGCTATTCCCCAACACAGAATTCAGCTCCAAGCACTGCCAGCTCCAAATCCTGATACTATACTACTTACAGTAACTTCATTTACTGCTCGTGTGTTAATGGAGAACGTGCTTTTACTCTAAAAACGCCAGTGTACAACTAAGTTCTTTTATGGTCCAGTTTCTGTAATGGCAGCTCCAGTTCCTTCTACCTTTTGGTTTTGTCCGCTGGGATGTGGCAGTCTAGACGAAAAAAAGAAAGATGAAAGGAAAGCCCCAGCTTCTTTTGCTCCTTGTCAATGCCCAAGTTTGTTCTCCAGGCTGTAGCAGTTCCTAAACACCTACAGAGCATCCAAAGGCACAGTAGTCATTGAAATTATCATTTAACTTGTACAACGTAATGATTATGTGTTATAAAAAAAGAGACAATTTGCAGTAGTAAGTACATTACTGAGAATTGATGAGAGAGTCACAATTATTGCTTTGACTTGAAAAGGCCTACATGTCATGTTAAAGTTTATGCAAATATGCAATTAACATTGCACGGGGTCTTAAAATCAGTTTTGAAATCCTGACTGTCTGTTCTGTGGCAGACTGCAGTGGTTTGATAATTCAGAAATAAAGGGTGAAAATAAATCCCTCTTGGATTCAGAAGTGGACAGAATTAACTAAAAATCTGGCATTTTCATTTAAATCACATAAATAGTTCAGAGTTTGTCCAGCTTGTTTTGACTGCCAGTTTAAATTATTTAATGAAATACAAGTGGAAAGACCCAAAACTAAAACTTGCTCACACAGTCATATCCTCATCTGGACAGACTGTGGAGAAAACATTAGTTTAGTTCAATCTAGGTAGACTTCTTGAATCATTTTGTTTGCTTAAAGTCAAATCTTTGTGGAGATTTATTAGAGCCTGCCAGTTTGCTTGCCATAAAAATATTTCCTGTTCCTGCTTTTCCAGTTCTTGCCTTCATTGCACTGTTTCATAAGAATCCTTGTGATGACTGAATGTTGTTCAGTTTTGTGACCCTGGCAAGTCCTGCTGCTGGCCCAGAGCAGGTATAGTGTGACACAGAACAGGACAGCTTCCTTCAGCAGTGTCTGGCTTAGGAGTCCCATAGGAAATGCCTTTCCACATCAAAGATGTTCAGCCTTTGGCTTCTCACTAGTAACTGTGGCAGAGGTTCTTCAGGGTGATGTAGAGCCATCTGCTTTTTAGTAACTGTGCTAAGCAAACCGGTTGTGCAGAGCAGTGAAGAGCCTTCAGGACCTGATAATTTTCAGTCCTGTGATTGAATCACAGATTATTTGGGTGGGAAGGGACTGCATCTCCTGCCTGAGCACAGGGTGAGCAGCCCCAGGCTGCTCTGGGCTTTGTCCAGTCAGGTCTTGAAAACCTCCAAGGATGAAAACGCCACAGCTTCTCTGGTCACTCCTGCTCTACTGCAAGAGTGTCCTCAGGGGAAAACTTTTTCCTTATATCCAGTCTGAACCTCCAGTTTCAATTTATGACCATTGTGTCTCATTTTTCTGCCATCACTCCTCAGTAAAGAGCCTGACTTCTTACAGGTACTGGAAAGTTCTCCTCAAAGCCTTCTCTTCCCCAGGCTGAGCAAGCTCATTTTTTTCCTCTCCTCACAGCACATTTGGCTCCAGCCATTTGAGCTCATGGAATACTCTTGGCATCCCTCTACTGAGCTCACTACAGTTTATTGACATCTTTCTTGTATTGGGGGCCCAAAACTAGAACCAGTATTCCAAATGTTCTCTAAAAAGTGCCAAGGAAAGGGCAACAATCACTTGCCTCCCTTCTGGCTAGGCTCCTGGCTGATGCAGCCCAATATGCTCTTACCTTTGTTACCACCACAACACAGTGCTGGCTTGTGTCCACTAGGACCCCCACATCCACGCTGAGATCATGAACTGCCAGGGTGGGGCTGGGAACTCCCTTTTGGAGGGGCTGGGATCTCCCTCTCCATACTGAATCAGAGTGCTCATTTGTCACATGCTGTGGTGAGTCACTGCCACCATAATACCCTGGCAGTCTGGCAGCTGCATGTGACTCTGAACTGCCTGCATCCATGGACTGCAGGGTTCAGCTTGCTGGTGGAAGTACAAAATGTGCTGAGCTGGGGCAATTTTGATGCCTCAGAAACCAGCCTTGCACAATGCCTAGGGTTGTTAAAGAAGCACAGGACAGGATAAGGTCAGTGGGATACTTATGTCCACCCTGCTGCTTAAAATTTGTAAAAGTAGCTCTAGTGATGAAAACTGAAACCAGCTGCTCCATCCTGTGACCCAGGGAAAGGGGATGAAGTAGGACTGCTGAGTGCTTTCTGGGGCTGGGCCACTCATTGCATTGTAGAATGCAGCTTTGAATTCCATATGGCAAAAAAACAATTAGAAAAGTGTCCAAACATCATCATCTTGCTATCTTCCTGTTCATAACCTGGCAGAAGCTTAGAGATATGGCCTCTGAAATAAGATGAAGTATGTTCACAGCTCCCAGGGACAGGATGGTCACTGGAATGGCATCGGAATTTGGCCCTGCGCCTTCAGGTGTTGGAGAAATGGGAGAATATACCATGTTGCAGGAATTGTTTCTGTTCTTACTTCACTTAGAGCACTGGAGCAGTGGCAAGTTGGCACATGTTTTTCTCGAGAGAAGCAGGTGGGATTCATGCAGGAAAGCAGGAAAGTAGGGGAAGTACACGATATAGCTGGAAAATCTGCTTTCTGCTGGTACTGTTGCACTGAGAATGGAGGGAGGACTACACAATGAGGCCACGCAGGAGGTAGGGCCTGGATAGAACTGCACTTGCAGCAAGCACTCCAGGACAACTCATCTTGCCCTGGTAAGCAGAGGCTGAAATCTGCTTTCCTGACCAAGAATTTACCATATAGCCACAATGTTCTAGACAGCCAAGCCTGGGAGAGAAGAGCTGCAACTCACAGGAGTTCATGCCTCCCTCTAGGGTGTTCAACAAGTCATTCTGACTTCTTGAGCACTGATTTGCATTCTGAAAACATTATAGACTCCAGCAGGCATGGGTGAAGAACTGTTAAATAAGTGTTGTGAAGACTTGGTGTCAGTCTGTGGCAACTGACTCACACCACACTCAGCTTTGCCACCTCCCTAGATTTCTGGTCCTGCTCCAACCCAAAGCTTAACATAATGCATTTTGATCTTTTAATAACTTGGGAAAGCAGAAACTTGGGAATTCAGCAGCAGTGACCCGTAGGCCTTAAGTCCTAAATACCTGAATCTTGCATCACTCTTAACCTACTGTTTTCTTAAGGTGAAATCTCAGCTAGAAGAAAAAGAAGGGAAAACCTTTGATGTCTTCACTGCAGTGGAGTATAAAACCCAGGTGGTTGCTGGAACAAACTACTTCATCAAGGTAGAGAGCACTGGAACTTTTTTTTTCATTCAGTGTATGTAATCTTTGGAATGGTGGGATTTTCCCTTTACTTGACTAGAGAAAAATGCTTACGACTTGGCCTTAATAAGAAAAAAAAATTGTGCATTAAAAAAAAAAAAAAAATCACCTCCCAGCCCCTCTCCCTGCCTATATGAAATAGAGAAGTATTCTTACTTCCTTTTTCATGGGAAGATGAGGTGGTATTTCCACAAAAATCATGGCTCCCAGTCTGGTTTAAAACAAGACCACTCCTTCTGAGGCAATGGTTTTCCTCACTGCCTGTCTGCTTCTCCGTCCTCAAAACACACCAGTCCACACCACCCCTCCTGCTGAAGGCTGTTCTCATTCCACGGATCTCACTGGGTTTTGTGCTTTGCAGGTCCATGTTGGCAATGATGAGTTCATGCACCTGCGGGTGTTCAAGAGCCTTCCCCACGAGAACAAGCCGCTGAGCCTCCACAGTTACCAAAGCAGCAAGGCGAAGCACGATGAACTGGCTTATTTCTAGCAAGCTTGTCTTGTGCGTTTTCCTAACGGTTTCTTACGTGCATTTTCTATAGGCTGAAAAATGTTGATTCCCGTGCCAACAAAGGAGGGGGAAAAGTGTCTTTTTTTAACGTAATGGTGGGAAAAAACAATTTCTTTTATGTCATTCCCTTCCTGTGCAATCTCTAACTTTGAGAGTCATCCGGCTGTCCTATTACCTGCACTAATGCAAACCCAACTTTAGTTGCAACTTAACTTAGACTTTAGTCCTGTTTGTGGACTTCCTTGGTCTGGAAGTCAGAAGGGGAGTGACACTAGTACTCATGTATTTGTAGCAAGGAGCAAGAGGGAAGCCTGTCTTTTCTGTGCTGTTTTGCAGCTGTGAATACATGTGTAGCTTTAAACTGTACTATGTATTTTATTGGCAAAGACATGAAGAGAGACTTGAGCTGAAACAATTTTGCAGGAAAGGGACAGAGGATTACAGTACTTTGAAACAAACATTCCTGTGGTAATTGTGTTCATCCTCTTGCAGCAGTAGCATGTAATGTCCCGCAGAGGGTGTGTGAGTTTAAAGAACCAAATCAGCTTGCTTATGTTCTCAGTCCTATGGAAAAGTCGTGAAAAGGAACTTATGCTGCACAAGCATTTCTGCATTAATAACAATAAATATTTCTTTTGACTTGACATGGCATATTTTACTGGTGCTTCAGTGCTCTCTTTACTGCTTTTCAATATTAGTTATTATCTTGCTCTGAGACTTTTTGCCATAAGTGTTTTTTATATTCCAGATAGCCTTATGCTTATTCTATGCCTCAATTAGAAATACTTTATTTTAAGCTGGTGAGACCAGATCGAGAGAGACCAAGAAAGGCTTCTGCAGGTATATCAGCAGCAAAAGGAAAATAAGGACAATGGTTTTCAAAACTTATTTTATTTAGTGTCATGGGCAGAACCCCCACACAACTTCTCATCCTCTCTCAGAAGTAGGTCAGGGGATCATCTCTGGTTTTGCCAGTCTGAAAGCTAACAAGGCTGGGACCTTCGTTCTCATGAGGAAGACTCTGAAACACCCTTAAGTGGACATACTCGGTATCGGAAACTTGGACCTAAAAACCAAAAGAGCAGGAAAGTGAGGAGCATGGTTCAAATAAAAGGATGCTCTTTACATTCTTGAAAGAATATCTTTGCCCAGGAGCTTAATTTTAGATATATCTTCATTTTTACTTTTAACAGCTCTTAACCAAGTCTGGATAGTAACCAGTGGCAGAAACTGTGTACACTTGTCTAAACCTTGAGGTTCAGATGAAGGGAAAGTGAGCAGAACTCCTTGGGGGTGGAAGCATCAGAAGGTGCAATAGGAGAAAGGTTTTGTTTGTGTCCTGTTTCAGTCACCAAGATGCCAGCACACAGCTTCTTGGCACACTGAGGCTGAAAGACAAGAGACAGTGAAGAAATCTTAATGACTCAGGGGTGGGACGAGATGCAGAGACAGTGTCAGCTCCTAGAGGGTACAGAAAGAGCTATCCAAAACTAGCAAGTGGTCCTGAGAAACAATGGTCTTGAGAAACAATGACAACTGGAAAGCCAGGAGCCTTTGTCTGCAGAGTTACTCAAAACTGTTCAGTGCCTGAATGGGCAATCTGACACATCTTGGTGCTTGTGGGAGTGCATGTGAGTGCCTGAAATAAATACTTTTTCAAAGAAATTCATCTTCCCCTTCAGAAAGTCCTCACATAAAGACTTGATAGGAGCTATATCATTTCATTCACAGAGCCAAGCACAAGGGGCACTAAACTCTCCCTCTGTGAGGTACATAGTATCAATGCAAAGTTTAATGCCTTAGGCACTGTTTTAAGTGCTTTCTGGAGGCTGCAATGTAGCACTATGTTTGTCTTGGTCTGGATTACATCTCAGCTACAGGTCCGCTGGTAACACATTAGCGATATGGAAAATTCAGAAATACAAAAGGATGAATCTTGTGACAGAGCTTGTTCTTGTTATTGCTAAAATGAGTAACTGTTTCTCATCACAGGCAAAATTGGAAAGAAGAGACAAATCATCTGTTTTCAGTGTTACAAGTGGATTTCTTCCAATTTCAGTTACTCGTCAGTCTTCATTTCTGAGTAGTTTGGTCATGAGGCTTAGCAGGGATAGCAGACAAGTATTTTAGGTTGCCCAGGTAAGCAATAAGATGGCACGAAGGAAAGAAATGCAGCTGGGCATGATTTCTGTCTGTACCTGTGATCTGTACTCTTCAGTGTTTTGTCCACCAAGTGAAAGCACATCTTACAGGAGCGAGGAAATGGTTACACATGGTTCATTTAGGTAAGATTGACTAGTCACAGAAGAGGTAGTCTGTCACTACGCTCCCCTGAGCACAAATAACTGATAAGAGTTATTTTAAAAAAGCACCTGGGAAAGAAGATGTTTGGCAGTGTCTGTCCTTCCCGTCATCAACTAAATACGAGAAGCGCAGTAGAGAATCCTAGTAGACGATGAATGGTGCTCACAGAGGGATCCAAACTGAGCATTACCTGGTTTTCCTCCATAGCAGAGAGGGGGTTATGAAAATACAGAAAGAACTAGCAGGCGGGCAGTACCTCTGCAGCACATGATGCAGAACCAAAACATCAACACACCTGCTTGCTTGCAAAACTAGTCAGCAGACTATGAGATGTTTGCTCTGCATTACAAAATGGACTCTATCTGATCCTAAGTCAGACTTCAAATTCAGCACAGTAAACACAACAGGAGGTCACAGACACAACAGGAAAGCTGATTTGCTTTGAAGGGAAACCGGAGAGCAGAGTTACAACTTGTTTAAATCACTACGTTGGTAAGTCTTTGAATGGGATTATCCTGAGAAACTTACCAGTCCCATCTGAAAAAGCCTAATGCATGTTTTTGAGGTTTTTCTGCTCCTCTTCTACAGTAGTGCCAAACAGCACCTGGAGATAGTCCGCAACTCTATTAGTTATATCATACTCGCATAGATGTTTTTCTACCACATTTGCTTCTCTTTCCAGCTCTAAGCCACTCTGCAAGTCACCTATATTGTTTAACTGCAAAGCACCCCCTCCTATAATATATACAAACCTTAATAAAGTAGTTTATCCCAGCAACCACTTGAGTCTTATATACTATGGCTCTAAACATGGCACAGTTCCTGTTTTCCTTGCTTTCAAATTGTGGCTTCACCTGTAGAAAGCAAGGGGAAAATGACTGGCAGGTTCATATTTGAGCTTTTCATTCACATATACCACACATACCCCCTTAGTGAAATAAACCCAGAACCCCCACTCTAAATCAATTTACACCAAGACCTCCAGCCCTCTTTCCCAGCAGTGCCTCCAGCATTCTTTAAAATCCTGTTAGAAGTAGACTTCCTAGTTGATTTCCCCTGACTCAAAGCTGTCCAGCTGAACCGTCTGTCCTGTGCTCAGTATAGGGGAAACTGCTAACTGCTGCCCTTTTAATTCTGTGTCAGAGGAGATGCCCTGTAGTGGTGCATGGGATTATTGTGACCCAAGTGCAGGACCCAGCACTTTGCCTTGTTAAACCTCACACAATTGATTCCAGCCAGTCAATCCAGCCTGTCCAGATCCCTCTGCAGAGCCTTCCTGACCTCCAGCAGATCAACGCTCCCACCCAACTTGGTGTTGTCTGCAAACTGACTGAGGGTGCCCTCAATCCCCTCGTCCAGATCATCAATAAAGATATTAAACAGGACTGGCCCCAAAACTGAGCCCTGGGGAACCCCACTGGTGACCAGCCACCAACTGAATGTAACTCCTTCACCACCACTCTCTGGACCCAGCCATCCTGAAAGATTTTTACCCACTAAACAGTGCACTTGTCCAAGCCATGGGCTGCCACCTTCTCCAGGAGAATAGAATACTGTGGGAAATGGTGTCAAAGGCTCCAGGTAGACAACATCCACCACCTTTCCCTCATCCACTAGGCAGATCACCCTGACACAGAAGATCAGGTTGGTCAAGCAGGACTTGCCTTACCTAAAACCCTGCTGGCTGGGCCTGATCCCCTGGTTGTTCCGTATATGCTGTGTGACGGCACTCAAGCTGTTCCATGACCTTCCCCCCACTGAGGTCAGGCTGACAGGCCTGTAGTTCCCCAGATTCTCTTTCCTGGATCCTCCTTCCAACCTTTCCTGTGGATGGATGACGCATTGGCCAACCTCCAGTTGTCTAGTACCTCCCCAGTGAGCCAGGACTGCTGGTAAATGATGGAGTGGCTTGGCAAGCTCCTCCCCCAGCTCCTTCAATACCCTCCTGTGGATTCCATCCCACCCCACAGACTTACATGTGTTTAAGTGGAGAAACAGGTGACTAACTGTTTCCTCCTGGACTGTGGGAGCTTCTGCTCATGGAGCTGGGTATCCCAAGGACAGCTGGTCTATTAATGACTGAGGCAAAGGCATTAATTGCCTCAGCCTTTTCTTCATCCTTTGTGGCAATGTGTCCCCCCACATCCAGCAAATGATGGAGATTCTCCTTAGCCCTCCTTTTGTGGCTGATGTATTTTTAAAAACATTCTTTGTCATCTCTTATGTCTGTGGACAGATTAAGTTCTAGTTGGGCTTTTGACTTTTCCAGCTTTCTCCCCGCATAACCTCACGACACCTTTGCAGTCCTCCCGAGTTGCCCTGCCTCTTCTTCCAAAGTTCATAAACTCTATTTTTTTCCCCTTAGTTCCAGCCAAGACTCTCTGTTCAGCCAGTCCAGTCTTCTTCCCCACTGGCTCATCTTTTGGCACATGGGGACAACCCGGCTCTCGCACCTTTAGGATTTCCTTCTTGAACAATGTCCACACTTACTGGACCCCTTTGCCCTTCAGGACCTGCCTCCCAAGGCATTCTCTCAACCAATCTCCTAAACAGGCCAAAGTCTGCCCCCTGGAAGTCCAAGGTAGCAGGTTTGCTGACCCCCTTCTTTACTTTTCCAAGAATTAAAAACTATAATTTCATGATCGCTATGCCCAAGACAGCCTCTGACCACCACTCAAAAGGCATAGACAACCTTTTCTAGGCTGGGTAACATGGTGCCTCTCTGCACATGACACCCATGCTGATGATCTGATGCATTGCAGAATTTGGGCAGAGGAGTGCAGCGTCAAGTGTCAGCCTGCTCAGGCAGCCCCTGGGAGGGGCCAGCAGCACTCAGCGCTCCTCCACCACCCACCTGTTTCGCAGGAACGCACAGAATTAATTTTCTTTCTCAGCACATCCACCTACAGCTGGCTGCCACTCCCATGACATTCCTTCCTAGCAGGAAGGTCACAGAAAGCACCCAAGGAATAACCATATCATTCCTGAAGTGTCAGAAATTATTATCATATTTAGGTTCCTCATAATCTCTTACTCTGCTCTTCTGTTGAGAAGCTTCCATGGTATTTCTATCACCAGGAACTGACAGCTATATTTTCAACTCAGGAGCTGCTAAATCTAGCAAACCAGGGAAACTTTAATTCCCAAACCTCTTCCAGCTGGCTGGGTCAGGGGGCTCCTAGAATGTTTCTGTGGCAACTTTTGGTACATCATATTCCTCTCTCAGAATACAACAAAACAAAGCTGCTTCCCTCCAATTTTGCTCTCTCTCCCAACCCTGTGTTTTCATTCTCCTGAAGTTACTGAGAATGAAAGAACACCAAGATTATGATCATTCCTCTTCTGGAATCAAACAGAAAATCTCTACATCCACATTTCAAATGCCATATTTACCCTGTACTTTGTGAGCATTAGCACAGCCTGAAAACAGCATTCACAGTTTGATTTGAGCCTGTTTGCTCACTGACAGCCAAGCACTGTGGTTTCACCTCCAATACACACCAAAATACTTCTGATCACCCAGAAATGACACAGCCCAGCACTGAAAATGTAGCTCAGTATCTGGGACGATGCACTGGCCCAGCCATGTTCAAAGGAGGCCCTGAGGCGTTTCACAAGACTCAGTAGTCATATTTCAAGCCCCCAGCTGGCCTGAGACATTGCCCTCCCCATCTTACACAGGAGGAAATGCCAATGGCAAATACACAAAGGTGCTACAAGTCCCTGCCTAGGGTCTCCCCTCCACAGCTAAAAGGGAATTTCTCATCTCTTCAGGTGCTGCTCCTGCAACCACTCGTGCCAGCAGAGGAGCAACAGTGATACTGCTCCAGAGTCATTCAATTGGTGTGCCCCAAACAACTGTAGATCATCCTTTCCTCTCCCTGTTCTGCAATAAATTATCTCCCTCTCACTGACCTGTTACCCCAAACTCCAGCCCTCCCCCATGTACACGTGCCCAGCTCTGGTGAGCCCAGCTGTGACTGACCAAGAGAGCCCCACACTGGGAGAAGGCTCAGGGGAGCTGGGGAGGGCGATGTGCTGCCCACAAAACCCCCTGGATAACACAGGGTGTGACTGACCACAGTTTTGCAGATAAGCTGACTTTATCTCAACACCAAGGGGACCACAGGGTGTTTTAGACAAATAGCTCCATCAGTCAAGGGAATCACCCAGGTGGTGTAACTCCCCAATTTCAGTAAAGGGAATGATGCCCTGAATTAGCCAGACCAGCATGGAGCGAGTGAATACATGACTCTGCCCAGCACAGAGTATAAAAACTAAACAGGGAACACAAGAATTTTGAAAAAAACCCTGCTGGTTAGAAGTGGCTTCAACCCACCGACCCCTTCTGTGGTGACTGAGAAGTTTAGTGTTGAGACAGGGAGCACGTTATACAGACCAGTGACGGAGACCACACCGGTGTCATCACTAACTATGCATTGCAATCAGGACATTTTGCTGAGAGTAATTAGATCTGCACCGAGTTTGCAGAATATTTGTATCCCTCTGCTAAATCACAAGTCTCCTGTTACATCAAATACATTCAAAAAAGTAAATTGAATGTTAAACATTATCCCCTCCACCTGTGGACTACCTATAAAAGAACCTGGTCAGAGTACTGGACTCTGACAGGTGTCTCCCAGTGGCTCTGCTCCTCCACATGCACAGTCCGACTCACCTTAGTCTGTTTTTGTCATTGCCTGGTCTCAGCCTGCAAGATCACAGGAGTCATGGAAGTGTGCTGTGCAAATTCTGTTCTCAGCAGCACAGCACAGGAGAGAGCTGGCAGCCTTGCACGCCAGGCACAGGGAGTGTGCAGCAGTATCGACCAACACTTTCAGCCACACCACTTCCTACTTTCGTTTCCTCAAGGAGGGCCTATGTTATGCTTTGTGCAGTTGCCAAAGGGAGAAGAGCTCATCTCTCAGAGCCTCGAGGGTGAAGGCAGTCAGGTGGACGGGTGGGAACATGGGATGGGAGATACAAAAGGAGTTTTCACATGCTATGTTGTTCCCTTTGCATTCCTCAGGATGCACTTGATACTTGTTTTAAAAAGAGCTGCTAGAAGATCTGCAGAGCTGCTTCTCACAGCTGCTTCCAGGACAGGAGCACTGCCTGTAACCAATGACCTGGCAACTGGGCTCACTGGCTTGCCTTTTGCCAAGCTCACCTTGCCCCTCGGGCTCACCAGCAGGCTCTGCATCACAGCTGTCAGTCTAGAAAACAATGCCAGCAGAGAACCCACTGTTTAAAAATAGCTGTCTCCTGAATATATAATTTCTTAGTGCATACTAGTACGTGGTTTGTCCTATACACATCCTTTAGTGAGGAATTACTTCTACCAGATACAACTTTCTCCCTTCAAATATGCCACCTCTCTTTTCAAAGAAGCCCCTTCAGTGCTGGCATAGCAGAGCTGGGCTCTGAACTACATGTGAACATTCACTGAATGTAGCCAGTACTATGCCTGGCTATGGACAATGAGGAGATAGAGAAAAAATGGGCATTGAAGGGGATTCCCATTTTCTGCACGAGGTTTTTCAGTTTAAACCCTGTTTCAGTATCAACGCCTGGTCTCCCAGCCTTTACACAACCTTCCATGCTCAGCCCTCTGCACACAGAGACTTCATTTATGGACAGGGTGCAACTCACCTGGTTAACAATACGCTGGATTTCTGGAGTAGCATCCTTGGTGTCAGATAAGCCCCCGGTCATCATAGTGGCAGGTGCCTTCTCTGAAATGACTGGCGGGTCTGAAATGGGTGATTCTGTAGAGGGAAGTTCAGCACAGTCTGAGCACACTCACCAGGCATCTCCTACATATATATAAACATGTGTCATGCAATCACGTGACCTGCAACACATGGAGCCTACCATTACCAAACTGGAGAAGGAGACAAATGGGGAAAATGGAGAAAAAGCAATGTAATACACTGATAATAATAAATGTAAAAAGCACTTTAGGAATCTCGAGAGTGTTCAGTCTTCATGTCAATAAGAAAAGCAAACATTAGCCTCCAGCCACCTATATCTTGAGACACTTGGTTTGGACCGCAACTGGAACCTCTTGCCTCTCCACCCATGATGACTGGTCTGTGCACTCAGGAAATGGATCAAAGTCACACCCAGTATTTCCCAACACCTTTCAAGATCAGAAGAAAGTATGCAGTAGTTTCCCTACTGCAGGTCCCGTTCAACTTGGAATTTTACTGTCTCAATATCCTTCCAAGTGGGAAACAGGAGCAGATTGCATCTTATCTTCAGTGACTTGATTTCCCTCTGCCTAACCAGAAAGGTCCCAACTTCAGGTAAGTACTGCAAATAAGGTATTTCTGCTTCTTTCCCCTCAGACCTAGAGCTGCATTCAGACAACCATAATAACAACCGAATATACAGTAACATTTACATTTCAATTGAAGCCCTAGTGACAATTTCTGGGAAGACAAAGTACAATCCCTCTCACTAGAGGAGCAGTGTGTGCACAATTGCTGTCCTAATGTCAGGTAACATGCAGAATATATAGTCAGAAAGATTCATTCCCACTTACAGACACATGACCATACACAAATGGACAAAGCTCAAAACCTACTGAGGGACGACTAATAAGTGTTAGCAGCCCTCCCAGGTAAGGGAGGACTAACACTTCCACACCACAAAAAAAATTACTCCCCTTTGCTATTCCTGCCATCCCTCTCTCCAGAAAACACGAGGAATATTGTTCCAGAGCAAGGACCAGAGAAGCAGCAACGAACCAGACAATCTGTAGTCTCCAGGGCTGGGTACATGGCAGTAGGTGAAATAGGACTACATGCTGCACACAGGCAAAGGACATTTCTGCTGGAATCAGCACTGGGGAGTTTGCTCAAAACAAGTTTGTTTATGGCCACAGCAAGGGGGTCTGTGTAGCACAGACTTATCCCTGTCCTACCCAGGCTACTGACCCTCCTCCTCACAGATGACAAGTGATGCAACACGCTGTAAACAAGGACTTCACACCTGACTTCAAGGCCTGGTTTTGGTACAAAGGACCTGAGATGCAGAATCTGGGGCTCTAGGGGTCCTAAACTCAACAGCATATAGATCAGTATTAGAGCTGTTACTGATAAAGGTGTTTGCAGAATTTCCCAAACTTGAGCAGCAGTGCCATATGAGTGGATGAAAAGCATTTGAGGAGAAAGAGTTGTCCTGAGACAAGATCTTTCTGAACCAAGCGAAAAATGCTTCCAGGTCTCAGGAATAATGAGAACGGGAGCTCTTAAAACTGCATTTCTGCCAATTTCACCAGTTTCATCTCTCCAGATAAGGAGTTGCTCACAGCCCACTTGTGGAGCTAATGACAATTCAAGCTGATGACTTCAAAATTCTTCCTTTGCACAAGACCCTGGTGATTCACCCGAGTCTTATTCACACAGCAGGATAGATAAGTAACTGGAAGAGCCAGCCCACCTTACTGAGACCAGAAGTCACAGAATGTGTCCAACAACCACACAGCATCAGTGCTAAAACAGAGTATTTTATAACCTGTCCACTCACCAGGATACAAACCTCACTAACTTCCTTGGGAAGGCATGTTATGGTCCCCAGGACAGCAGTACACCCCTGGAGAACACTTTAATTAGCAGGAAATAAACTGACCACAAAGTCTAGGAAGGTTAATTTATAATCTCAGGAAAACTCTAGTTGTGAAACTAAAGATGTTAATGTTGTATGGAAATCAATCCTTGGACTGCATATTTCTGGATTTGCTGGTTTTTCACTTCAAAGCATAATAATTTTTTTTCTCCCAGACTGCACAGAGTTGAGCACAAGGGAAGGAAAATCAACACTAACTGTCCACAAGATGATGCTGAAGTTTACACAGGCAGATCAATCTGTTTTCTTTTCATGGCAGTGCTAACTGCTGTCCCAAAATCCAGTGATAGTTTTAAGACTGGGATGCAGTACTCATCCTGCACACGTATTTCACGAAGGCACTTTGAAGTGCTGACGTCTCACAGACCTCTTATCAAAGATGATCAGTGGCGAAGGATTAACCTCATCCTAGGTAACATTCACACCCCTCTCTAGTCAGCTTCAGATGTAATAAAACAGGATTTGGAACACAACCATGAAAAGAACAGCCGCCTCCATTCCCTCTCTTGCAGATCATCGTCAAGCCTTTAGTCCCCTCCTTTAGTATTTGTGACATGTCTGATGTCACGCACCATTCCAGCCTACACTCTGCATTTGCACAGATCGGAATTTCCCTTCAATTGACTGCTGTTATATTGGACAATCTCCGCTGGCAGAATAACACCAGCATTCTTTATAGTTTTGAAGCTGAGTAACATCTCGCACCATGTACTATTCCAATAAGGAAGAAACAAATTTTACAACTTTCAGGCCACTACTCCCTGGTGCTGTATATGGAATTTTAAGAACTACAAGCTATAGTTGATAAAAACACTGGTACAGTAACAAAACAAAGCAAACAAAATAAAATATAAAAAACCCTCGACCAAAATCCAAACCTCAGTTATGTATTTACAAGTCATCTTTAAACCAGGCATGAGAAACCTACAGCTCTATAGGAATGATTGTGAAACCCCAAGTCAGTAGTTCAGCCTTCTGGTTTCACAGTGTAAAGACACCTAATTGTGACTGGATGATATGACGCATGGTTTGAATGTTTTTAAGAACTAGAGGAAAGCCCTCCATGTAGCAGTTGAAGATCTGTTTTCATGATCACAGTAACATCAGCCTTGACTTTCACCACGCTGGTCTGAAAAAAAGGTTTCCCCTCCTGCTCCTCACTCTGATTTCAAAAGATTTCTGGCATCATACATCAAGAAAGATTAATAGAAACCTGACTTCCAGCAGCACAAAGATCTCATCCCAGCATATGCTGAGACTGTGGTACCAGTAAAGAGCCTCCTCCTTTCAGTCTGCTTCACAATGACGAAATTCTTCCAGCTTTGATAATTCGATAATTCAATGATTTTACAGAAACAGAAAAACCAGGCTGTATTTGCTGGGAAAGCCCCACCCACCTTCACTGCACTCCTACCTGGAGCTCTAAGCCATCAGCTCCACACGCTGCCCGAGAGCTGCTGCTGCAGCCGATGGCAGTGACACACACTGGGCACAAGGGAAGTTCAGTAGCAAGGACTCTCTTTGGGAAGGTGATTTACAACCAAACTCTTTTCCCAGGCACAGAGAAGGGGATATATTCTCATCCTGCCGAGTCCAAGGGAAGAGGAGGTCTGGTCAGGCAGATGCCCAAAAGCCGGTCATGTGTCACACAACACTGATGGAGACAAGCTGAGGAACATCCTTCTGTGGAAAGCTGGAGCCTGAGAACCTCCACTGGCATGTCCTACCAAAAGACGCCAACACAGATGGCTGCCCCATTCCACCCACCATGGCTCAAAATCCCACATTTCCAGCATGTCCAGAATGGTGTTTCCTGAACCATTTGTTAGTGAAGCAACAACAGAGTGGATCAGCTCTGGGGGGGGATTTTCATCAGCAAATTCAGCTGATGGGCTGGGAACAATCCCAGTAAATAGCCTGATCCTGCATCCCCAGTCTCCTCACAAATCCAGTAGAGCTCTGCCTGCCCAAAGCCCCAGCAGAGCATTTATTTATAGGTGATAGCAGGCAAACAATACCTGCTTCCCCAGTCTGGTTCATGCTTCTCAGCCATGTCCTCCCCTTTAGTCCACAAGCTCCATTTAGTTTCTGATACCTGCTGCTGTTAAATTTAGGGTTATATTGACCAAAGGTGGAAGGAGACTGGTCTTCCCATTCCTTCAAGGCACACATTCCTGCTTCCCTGTCCTGCCACCCTTATGCTCCCTGTGAATGAAACTGCTCTTAAAAAGGAAAACAGTTTGGGTTCTCAGTTCCCCCGTGCCAGAAATTTTCTACCTCACACTCTTTCTGACAAGTCGCCAATAGCTTGCATTTAATGCACTGAAACAAACCCAAAAGGCCCAAGACACCCAACAGAGTTTTGGAAAGAGGAGCTGAAATGGGTGTGCCCTGTCTTACAGCTGTGGTACCACGGGTGGCAGAAACAGCCTGGAACAGTAATTTGGAGCCTACCTGAGCTTTAGCCGGGCAGCAGCCCAAGGCATGACACACAGCAGATGAGCAAATAGCTTTCAAGTCTTATTTTATTTTCATGCATTTACTGTCACGGTCAGAACCACCATGTGACTTGCAGAAGTGAGGCACCGTCTCTCATCGTGCCTCAGAAGTAGTCCAGAGGATCATCTCTGGTCTTGCCAGTCTGAAAATTGACAAGGGCAGGACATACATTCTCCGGAGGAAGGCCCAGAAGCACCTTTAAGTGGACATATTCGGTGTCAGCAACTTGGACCTAGAAAACAAAACAGGAGGAAAAGTGAGGAGCATGGGTTTGAAGCAGGTTCAAACAAAAGGATGCTCTTTACATACTTGATAGGATATCTTTGCCCTGGAGTTTAATTTGAGGTCTATCTCAATTTTTTACTTCCACAGCTCTTCACCCAAGTCTGGGTAGTATCTGCTGGCAGAAAACTGCCTACACCTGGAGAAAACTCTACTAAAAACCTTCAGTCTCAGATGAAGGGGAAATGAGGCAGGACTGCTTGGGGCTGGAAGCACCAGAAGGTGGAACAGGAGAAAGGTTTTGATGGTGTCCTATTTCGGTCCCCAAGATGTCAGCGCATCAGCTCACAGCCTCTTGACACACTCAGGGTGGAAGGCAAGACCCAGTGAGCCTTAATGACTCAGGGGTGGAACAAGATACAGAGACAGCATTTGCTCCTAGAAACTACAGAAAGATCCATCCAAAACCAGCACGTGGTCCTGAAAAGCAGTGACAACTTGAAAGTCTTGTCTGCAGACTGGGAAAGAGGAGATAAATCTGGGACGCAACTGGGCGTGACTTCTGGCTGTACTTCAGCCCTCTAGTAAATTGTTACTCTTTATTACTCAGTGTTTTGTCCACAATGTGAAAGCACATCTCACAGGAGCAAGGAAGGGATAAATATCAATAATGCAGCTAAGACTCTGACTAGCCACAGAAGAGGTGGTCTGTCAGTACAGTCCTCTGGTGCCCACAGAGCACAAATAACTGGTGTTATTTTAAAAAGCACCTGGGAAAGAAGATGTTTGGCACTGTCTGTCCTTCCTGTCATCAGCTAGATATGAGAAGCATGGAGCACATGCTCACCACATCTCTCTGCAGAATTACTCTCCCCCAAACGCTACCAGACAATTTCTTCCATAAAACGATTCCAACCTTGTCAGGGGAGCATGTCCCACCAGGCACATGTCCCCACACAAGTGGGGTTTGAGACACAGCAGTCCCATGCCATGTGTTCTCTGCTCCAGAGGGCCAGCCTGCCACTCAGCAGTGCCTGCTGGCCTTCAGATGCAAACTACACCCAGCAAGTTCTTCTGTGCTGCTTCACAGAAAGCTGCTCACAGCCGTGGGTAAGGTTTCCTAGTAGAGGATGAATGGTGCTCTCAGAGGGATCCAAACTGAGCATTAACAGGTTTATCTCCACAACAGAGGGAGGGTTTTGAAAATACAGAAAGAACTGTTCCTCTTCTACAGTAGTGTCAGAGAGGGATTTTAAAACATCCTGAGATAGTCCCCAACTCTATTACTCACATCAGATGCTTTTCTACCACATTTGCTTCTCTTTCTAGCTCTAAGCTACTCTGCAAGTCACCTATATTGTTTAACTGCAAAGCACTCCCTCCTATATTATATACAAACCTTAATGAAGTAAATTGTCCCAGCAACTATTTGAGTCCTGTAGAGTATGGCTCTAAAGATGTCACATTTCCCGTTTACCTTGACTTCAAGTTGTAGTTTCACCTGTAAAAAGAAAAGGAAAAATGGTTGGCAGGTTCATACTCAGGCTTTTCTTTCGCATCTACCACTTCAAATCCCATCCTTTCAAACATACACCCTTGATAAAATATACCCAGAACCCCCAATATAAATCAATTTACACCAGGATCTCCAGCCCTCCTTCCTAGCACTGCCTCCACCATTATTTAAAATCCTGTGAGAAGGAGACTTCCTAATTGATTTCCCCTGCTCTAAAGCTGTCCAGCTGAACAGTCTCCTGCTCACTACAGACAGCAAGCTGCTACTGCTTACCCTTTTAATTCTACATAAAAGGACAGAGGCACCAAGCCATGCTCCCTACCAGGGTACACCCTGTGTCAACCACAGTTACAGGGAAGTGCTAGACAGCTCCCCTCACCTGGAACACCATGCCAGTCAGCCTGGGAGGCCAAAGATCCCTGCTCTGTTTCACAACCTCGGAGCTACACTCAGGTCATTTGATGCTTTTCTTCTAAAATATGCAGAGAAGGACTGCCCCAACATCAGGATGTTTTCCTCAGAGAACTATACCCAAGCCTCTGTAGTGGGGGGGGACCAGGAAGAGTTCTCTCTCCTACTCTCAGTATAAGGCAGAAAACAAAGAGCAAAGAATAATTTGTTTTCATTCTCCTGAAGTTACTAAGAATAAAAGAACACCAAGATTATGATCATTCCTCTTCTGGAGTCAAACAGAAAATCTCTACTTCCACATTTCAAATGCCATATTCACCCTGTACTTTGTGAGCATTAGCACAGCCTGAAAACAGCATTCACAGTTTGATTTGAGCCTGTTTGCTCACTGACAGCCAAGCACTGTGGTTTCACCTCCAATACACACCAAAATACTTCTGATCACCCAGAAATGACACAGCCCAGCACTGAAAATGTAGTTCAGTATCTGGGACGATGCACTGGCCCAGCCATGTTCAAAGGAGGCCCTGAGGCGTTTCACAAGACTCAGTAGTCATATTTCAAGCCCCCAGCTGGCCTGAGACATTGCCCTCCCCATCTTACACAGGAGGAAATGCCAATGGCAAATACACAAAGGTGCTACAAGTCCCTGCCTAGGGTCTCCCCTCCACAGCTAAAAGGGAATTTCTCATCTCTTCAGGTGCTGCTCCTGCAACCACTCGTGCCAGCAGAGGAGCAACAGTGATACTGCTCCAGAGTCAGTCAACTGGTGTGCCCCAAACAACTGTAGATCATCCTTTTCTCTCCCTGTTCTGCAATAAATTATCTCCCTCTCACTGACCTGTTACCCCAAACTCCAGCCCTCCCCCATGTACACGTGCCCAGCTCTGGTGAGCCCAGCTGTGACTGACCAAGAGAGCCCCACACTGGGAGAAGGCTCAGGGGAGCTGGGGAGGGCGATGTGCTGCCCACAAAACCCCCTGGATAACGCAGGGTGTGACTGACCACAGTTTTGCAGATAAGCTGACTTTATCTCAACACCAAGGGGACCACAGGGTGTTTTAGACAAATAGCTCCATCAGTCAAGGGAATCACCCAGGTGGTGTAACTTCCTGAGCTCAATAAATGAAAGGGAACGTCCCCCTGAATTAGCCAGACCAGCATGGAGGGAGTGAATACATGACTCTGCCCAATACACAGTATAAAAACTAAGCAGCGAACACAAGAATTCTGAAAAAAACCCTGCTGGTTAGAAGTGGCTTCAACCCACTGACCCCTTCTGTGGTGACTGAGGAGCTTAGTGTTGAGACAGGGAGCACGCTATACAGACCAGTGACCGAGACTCCAGAAAACAATGCCAGCAGAGAACACACCATTTATTCATTGCCTTGTCCTGTTTAAATCATTTTTAGGGCATACCTGAATGTGGTTTGTCCTATCCACAGCCTTCAGTGAGGAATTACTTCTACCACGTACAAACTTCTCCCTTCAAATATGCCACCTCTCATTTCAAACTAGCCACCTCAGTGCTGGCATAGCAGAGCTGGACTTTGAAGTACATGAGAACATTCTCTGACGGTAGCCAGTTTAAACCCTGTTTCAGTCTCCCCACTTGGTCTCTCAGCCTTTACACAACCTTCAGCACTCAGCTCTTTGCACACAGAGACTTCATCTATAGACTAGGCACAGCTCACCTGGTTGGTGATATCCTGGACTTCTTGAGTGGCAGGCTCAGGGGGAGATAAGCTCCCAACGGCACGTGACTTCTTTAACATGACAGGTGGTTCTGAAGAGGGAAGTTTAGCACAGTCTGAACAGAGTCACCAGACATCTTGCATATGTACATATATATACACATAGACGTGTGTGCTGAATTAAGAGTAAGAAATCTGGCAGAAAATAAACCCCCTTGCATTCCAGCTGGGCCTCAGGGGCAAGAGGGGCTTAGAAGCAATTCATCACTGTAACTCTGGTCATGTTCAATAGGAACTTCCACAAGCACAGATTCACAAATAGTGTGTTTTACACTTTAAATCTGGTTGCATTTGAGGAGAACTTCTGCGCTCACAGATTCACAGACAGCTTGCTTTATTGAAGCAACAGAAATTCAGATTTGAAATGGCCATTGATAAATGCACCTGCTGCAACGAAGCTCTAACAATAACAACCCGGAGAATAGTAACAATCAGACACAAAGGCTTACCACAAAGGCGTTCCTGCTTGGGATGAGAGAGAGAAGACTAGTCCACTGACTGTCTCTGAGTCTTCTTGGGTCTTCCTCGTACTTCGGTGAAATTTCTACCCTCCTTATATACAGCCGAATCGTCTCTTCCCCCCGCTTCTTACATATGGCATGATCGAAGCGGAGAGTTGAGTAACACAGCCAAGTGTGGTAGCACATACTTCATTAAGCTTATTAACATATGCAGGGGGGTTGCATTTCCTGTTCAAATGACCCTTAATTTTTGGGCATGGTATGCTTCAAGGTTCCGGTCTTATGATTTTGTTCTGGTCTGTTCTGTTTGTCAGAGCCAAAAGAGGATCATCCTGGCTCCACAGCACCTCCTCCTTCGGCCAACACATCCTTTCTTGACGTCAACCATGCCTATCTCCATCCGCAAAGATAACGTAGGGGGTACCCACTGCAGGCCATAAATAGGCAGCCTTAACCATTGCCTGGCTCCTGGGTCATCATCCCACAGTGCCATGGAATCATGGGACCTACAACACATGGAGCCTACCATTACTGAACTGGAGAAGCCAACTAAATGGGAAAATGGGGGAAAGCAATGTAAAGCACTGATAACATTAATAATTAATGTGAAAAGCATTTTAAGAATCTTAAGAGTGTTCAGTCTTCACGTCAATAAGAAAAGCAAACATTGGACTCCAGCCACCTACATCTCAAGACAATTGTTTTGGGCTGCAAATGGAACCCCTTGCCTCTCCACCACTGTGCAGGTGACTGGTCTGTGCACTTAGGATACGGATCAAAGTCACATCCCATAATTCCCAACACCTTTCAAGATCAGAAGAAAGCATGCAGTCGTTTCCCTACTGCAGTTTCCATTCAACTTGGAATTTTATTGCCTCAATATCCTTCCCAATGCAAAAGAGGAGCAGATTGCATCTTATCTCCAGTGACTTGACTTCCCTCTGCCTGACCAGAGATGTGCCAAGGTAAACAACAGCACCAGAAGTAGAAAAAATTAAATCCCAGCTTCAAGTAAGTACTGCAAATAAGGTATTTCTGCTTCTTTCCCATCAGAAGCATTCAGGCAATCACAATAACAACCGAATATACAGTAACATTTCAATTGAAACCCTAGTGCCAATTTCTGGGAAGACAACACACAGTTGCTGTCCTAAGTCACTGCTGAAACAGGTAACATGCAGAATATACAGTCAGAAGGATTCATTCCCACTTACAGACACAAGGCATAGTCACATCCATGACCATACACAAATGGACAAAGCTCAAAACCTACTGAGGGACGACTAATAAGTGTTAACAGCCCTCCCAGGTAAGGGAGGACTAACACTTCCACACCACAAAAAAAATTACTCCCCTTTGCTATTCCTGCCATCCCTCTCTCCAGAAAACACGAGGAATATTGTTCCAGAGCAAGGACCAGAGAAGCAGCAACGAACCAGACAATCTGTAGTCTCCAGGGCTGGGTACATGGCAGTAGGTGAAATAGGACTACATGCTGCACACAGGCAAAGGGCATTTCTGCTGGAATCAGCACTGGGGAGTTTGCTCAAAACAAGTCTGTTTATGGCCACAGCAAGGGGGTCTGTGTAGCACAGACTTATCCCTGTCCTACCCAGGCTACTGACCCTCCTCCTCACAGATGACAAGTGATGCAACACGCTGTAAACAAGGACTTCACACCTGACTTCAAGGCCTGGTTTTGGTACAAAGGACCTGAGATGCAGAATCTGGGGCTCTAGGGGTCCTAAACTCAACAGCATATAGATCAGTATTACAGCTGTTACTGATAAAGGTGTTTGCAGAATTTCCCAAACTTGAGCAGCAGTGCCATATGAGTGGATGAAAAGCATTTGAGGAGAAAGAGTTGTCCTGAGACAAGATCTTTCTGAACCAAGAGAAAAATGCTTCCAGGTCTCAGGAATAATGAGAACGGGAGCTCTTAAAACTGCATTTCTGCCAATTTCACCAGTTTCATCTTTCCAGATAAGGAGTTGCTCACAGCCCACTTGTGGAGCTAATGACAATTCAAGCTGATGACTTCAAAATTCTTCCTTTGCACAAGACCCTGGTGATTCACCCGAGTCTTATTCACACAGCAGGATAGATAAGTAACTGGAAGAGCCAGCCCACCTTACTGAGACCAGAAGTCACAGAATGTGTCCAACAACCACACAGCATCAGTGCTAAAACAGAGTATTTTATAACCTGTCCACTCACCAGGATACAAACCTCACTAACTTCCTTGGGAAGGCATGTTATGGTCCCCAGGACAGCAGTACACCCCTGGAGAACACTTTAATTAGCAGGAAATAAACTGATCACAAAGTCTAGGAAGGTTAATTTATAATCTCAGGAAAACTCTAGTTGTGAAACTAAAGATGTTAATGTTGTATGGAAATCAATCCTTGGACTGCATATTTCTGGATTTGCTGGTTTTTCACTTCAAAGCATAATAATTTTTTTTCTCCCAGACTGCACAGAGTTGAGCACAAGGGAAGGAAAATCAACACTAACTGTCCACAAGATGATGCTGAAGTTTACACAGGCAGATCAATCTGTTTTCTTTTCATGGCAGTGCTAACTGCTGTCCCAAAATCCAGTGATAGTTTTAAGACTGGGATGCAGTACTCATCCTGCACACGTATTTCACGAAGGCACTTTGAAGTGCTGACGTCTCACAGACCTCTTATCAAAGATGATCAGTGGCAATGGAGTAACCTCATCCTAGGTAACATTCACACCCCTCTCTAGTCAGCTTCAGATGTAATAAAACAGGATTTGGAACACAACCATGAAAAGAACAGCCGCCTCCATTCCCTCTCTTGCAGATCATCGTCAAGCCTTTAGTCCCCTCCTTTAGTATTTGTCACACATCTGATGTCACGCACCATTCCAGCCTACACTCTGCATTTGCACAGATCGGAATTTCCCTTCAATTGACTGCTGTTATACTGGACAATCTCCGCTGGCAGAATAACACCAGCATTCTTTATAGTTTTGAAGCTGAGTAACATCTCGCACCATGTACTATTCCAATAAGGAAGAAACAAATTTTACAACTTTCAGGCCACTACTCCCTGGTGCTGTATATGGAATTTTAAGAACTACAAGCTATAGTTGTTACTGGTACAGTAACAAAACAAAGCAAAGCAAAGCAAACATAAAAAAACCACCAACCAAAATCCAAACCTCAGAGTTATGTCATCTTTAAACAAGTCAAGTCATCTTTACATCTTTACAAGTCATCTCTAAATCAGAAACAAAGTCAGACACCTAATTTTGACTGGATGATATGACACATGATCTGAATGTTTTTAAGAGCTTCAAGAGGAAAGCAGCCCTCCACAAACTAGTTGAAGATCTTTTTTCATCTCCACAGTAACATCAACCTTGATTTTCAACATGCTGGTCTGCAAAAAAGGTTTCCTCTCCTACTACAGACCCTGAAATCAATGCGAATTAATAGAAGCCTGACCTTTAGCAGAACAAAGTCATTGTATTCCAGCCTATAGTGAGCCTATAGTGCCAGGAAAGAGCCTCTTCCCCTCACTGTGCTTCAAGACGACTAAAGCCTACCCTTAAAAATGTTCTGTAAAGAAATTACCTGTTTCATCACTCTTTCATGTCTATAGACTGCAGAAGACAACAGCACTGAGTGCCAGCAAAAACACACCTCCTTCTATTTTGCAGATGCACAAACTTGAGAGGACTTTCCAAGTAAGTGGAATCTGCCCACCTCTATTCACCACTTCCAAGAAACAGGAAAGCCCCAGTACAGGAGCAAGGATGTCTTGGACTCTGAACAGGGTCATCAGTTTTGCTCCAGTGCCTTTACTTGCAGAAATAAAAGTTAAAACCAGCAAAAAGATTTAATTTATTTGTGGGGTCCATTACTTGATTCCCATGTGACATCAAGCAGCCCAGTAGTTTTGTAACTACCTCCATGGTAATGCTGAAGCAAGGTTCAATCCCAGACTAAGCCTGGTCCTAGCATGGTGGGGTCCCCAGACAGATTTTACCGGCCTGAGTTCAGAGTGGCCCACAGCTCATACCAATGCCATTTCATAGCATTACAAACCATCCCCCTCCACAGGCACATCTGAAGGACTCAGAAGACAGCAGAGCCATGTTCTCCAGCCCCGTGTCCCAAAGCACAGCATGCAATTCTACTTACTTACCTTCCTGTTCCACCAAGTTCAACAGCAAGATACAAAGAGCCTTGGATCCACATGATTTGCCATGGACTACTGTAAGAGATATCCCTCAGCACTCAAAGCAAACCAAATAGAGCAATACAATTTCTCAGTGCAATCCTCTGCATACAAGCTGCAGACACCCAAAGAAGGGATGTTTGGGACTTAGGAGTCTTCTTATGGTGTCTGAAGTATTTCACAGACAGCTTTGTAAAGGGCTACTTCTTTGCCCTTATATTCAAAATGAAAATAATGTTACCTTGGATTGGCTTTTTTGGTGTTTTAGTTTTACACAGCGTTCCCATAACAAACTAAATAAAAATTAAAAAAAATCTGTATATGTATCACATCCATTTCACAGGTCATTTTTCACAGCATCTGCTCAAGTGAAGATTTCCCACAACAGCTGAGCAAACATCTGGATGGATAAAGGAGGACAATGATTAATTCCCATTATAGTCTCTAGTTTATACAGAAATACAAGATTAAATTTCAAGAGTATTGATGCCAACTCTATACACTAGCAGAAGACTCTATCATACAACTGGCTTAAAAGGAGAATTTGTCCTTGCAGTTGACCCAAGCCATGGAGAGAACGGGTATTTTAGACACCTATAAAAGAGGTCACTATTAAAGTACCAACTTTGAAATAAGCTGACTGTTCTCAACAGTTCTCTCATTAATTGACCATGTCCAGTGGAATTTAAGTTATGCTAATTCAGCCCATAGTTCTGAGCAGTATTTGATTTCCACTTTGATGAAAAACAATTATAAGAATTTAACAGTTGATGAACAACCATGTTTTCTGCTTTCAGAGTTGCAGAAAAGCTATGAGAAATCTTCAAGAATGAGATGAGTGCTCCAACTCGAGTAAAGTTCTACATAGAACAGTTGCAGTACCTTGAGAAAAAAAAGGAAAAAAAATGAAGTTTGAACATTAGGATTTACATCCTCAAAGATTTAAAATACATTTCTGCCTCATTCTCAGAAAAAAAAAAGTTAGACTAAATGACCTTGCTGCCTAAAAATAAAAGGTCACCAAGTAATTGCAGTCTCTACTGGACAAACAACTATAAAACAGATGATGCTGCACAGATCTTTGCCAGTTTTCAGTGTCAAAGGTCTCTGCGTGTACTTGTCACTGCTCATATATGCACAGCTTTTAGGTATCTGAGAGTATGCAGTAATTTCATTCCCCTTGCTGAATTCCAAAGTCTTTTCAAGATGGAACCTGTATTTTTAATGCTCTGTTCAAATCCAGTGGTTATTAAAGACATATCACTGAGTTATTACAGTTTTACTGATGGTAACCATGCAGTCCTTGTAATTTGACTGACAGCTTGAGTTAGTTATAAAAAATAAAGGTATAATTATTATTAATTCAGTTTTCCTCATACTTCTGTCTTTAAATGCCGCATTACTCCAAGGGATGTTGCATTAAAGCTTCCTAAACACAACACTATGGCCAGAATCAACAAGATCAGCTCTGCACAGCTCTTTTCTCAGCTCAAAAGCAATTCACCTGTAGAATTAATTTTAAAGGTTCAGAAGAATCACTGGACTGTTAACTGTCTCATTCCCAAAGGAGACATAGCTTCATCTCCAACTCAAAGTGGTTTTAATCAACACCTCATTCCCTACACAAAGGAAAAACTCAGAGCTTGGTAACACATACCAAAGGACAGTTTACAACAGATGCTGCCTGTGAGCATTGCAGGAACAATGGCAAATCTGTCTCCACACACAGCTCTGAGCCAATGCTGCTCCTGTTCAGCAGTTTGGAACAATGCTGGCAGCATCTAACTTTCAGGGATGCTGAAACTACTACACATGCTGATCATTCTGCCATTTTCATTTCCTTGCAGACCTTAGCAGATTTGCTGCACAAACACACCATGCTCACTGATAGTTTAGCAGGCACCAGGTCAGTGAGAGCCTTGTCCTCCCTGCTCAGAGAGGCCTTTTAATGTTTCTTCCCCTCTGGGACTGCTGAAGCTGTAGAAGTTCAAGAAAGATGCCAGTTTTGCATTCCATTTGAAAATTATTTTAATACTATAAAACTCATTTGTTCACATATTTGGTACAAAAGATGAATTGTTTTCTCTCAATTACAGGAGAATCACTTCAGCCTTGAGATTTCAGCTAAGTAGGTCCAAAACAAAACAAGACTGGGTTCTACTGGTTCTGGAGGGTCCCAATACAGCTCACCCAAGGTCTCTTTCCAGTTTGGCTTTCACAGTTATGGACCACCTTGATGGAAAATACCCCACATCATTGACTCTTCGGAGGCTTGTAGTGAATTCGGCACCGCTCATTAAATACCTGAGACACCAAAACAGAAGAGCAAAAGCAAATCAGCCCTCGTCCAGGAGATCAGCAAAACTACACAGCAGGTTCAGGCAATGACCTCTTCACATAGCACACATCTCAGGCTGCCCAGTACTCATGTACCGATAAATGGCACTTACCAAGGCATCGGTCTCCATTCAACTTCTCTCCTGGCTTTAGTGAATGCAAAGTTTGTAGCCTGATGCTGGGGGACTGCACAGCACTAAGTGTTCTCCCTCAGACAAGGCAGACTCTTAATCCTGGTAGTCTGTTACCATCCAAGATGCTGACGACTTTTTGTTTTTAAAAGGGAGCGACAGAACCACTGGAAGGCTCCTGAACGGTTGTGTTCCGTTAAGTTCACTCTGACATTCAAACGTGGATGCTGCTGTATTCCTCTCTTTCCCAAGCAAACATATTTTACATTGTCATGACAGCTAAGAGGAGGGGTAAGGGCTCCTGGAAGCCACAGTGACACTCAGTTATCTGCCAGCAGGTGCCAGTGCTGCCAGCACTCCCATGTAAAGGGCACAGCACTCTTGCCTCACTCACCTCTGGCACCTTCTCTGGGTAAAATTTAGCACAGAGAACCAGATCCTGCTGATCCTGTATATTTAGCTTGAACTGCTGCAGGCCTTGTCAAGCAGACTGCCTGCCCTAAGGAGGGCCAATAAATGGGACTGTTTAAAGGAAGGCAGTCTGAATCAAAAAGCACAACATGCAGGCTCCCACCAAAGTCGCAGGGGCTCTCACAGGCCAGTCAGTTATGTAGTGATTGGGCTCCAAAACTGGACTTGCACATGCCCCAAAAGCGACATGAGCACCACCCAGCACCAAGCTGAGGCACTGGCAGCTGTTGGGTGCCCCACCAGCACCCACTCCCGTAAGAGTGCGTTCTGCTAAGCTGTCCAGGGACTTGGCAGACCCAAATGCCCGTGATTGTCAGGATATCAAGTTTGGTGAACGCTCCCACTGGCTTTACAAAGTGAGTGATCTTGTAATTTTGGGGAAGTTATACATCACTTTCTGTAAATTTCTGTAACTTTCTGTTATTTCAAGCTGTGTCTTCCTAGAATCTTCTACTTCTATAGCTGATCTCCTTATTCAGAGTTCAAAACCCATCTTGAGCAAACGTTTGGAGCACACATTAGTTACAGCATTGATTTTCAACCATTTTTGAGTAATTTTCAACTTACTTTCAAATTTAATTTATTTTATAAAACAGAAACTGCTTCATATTGTAGAAAACAGAAGTTGTGATACGGTTCCTTTCACTCATACCCACATTACATTACAAGTATGTTACCACATGCAATGGACGCCTCTGGCAGAGTTAAGACCATGTAAATGTTTGAGATCAGATCAGTGATAGGAGGAAGCTACAGAAATTAGGAACAACAGAGGGTTTCAATTCAGAAGCATTTTAATATTAAACAAATTGCATCACTTTAGTCCATTGTCTATTAAAGACATTTAAATGGCATACAATTCTTAAAGGATACTGGAAATACTCTCAAAAACACTGCAAGGGTCTCTTGCATCAAAAGCCAGACCGGCCTGCTAACGCTGCCTCCTATTTTCAGGATCACTGACTCAATGTGTTATTCGGACCCCTTTAACTCCATTAGTCTACCGGTGAAGTGCTATTCTCATTTTTCAGACAGGAAAAACAGTGCCTGAGAAACCTTAACATTAATGTTACTGTGCAGAAGTTTGATTTTGCTGGCTTTTACATATTAGTATAAAACAAAATACTCTAACAATAAACTCGGTGTCGAGGTGCTGTGCAGAGACTAATGCAGGTGTTTTGTTTTGAAAGTCGATTCCCTGTCTGGCATCATCCAAATTCCACTGCATGCATTTCTATAAAGCAGCATCTTTCTGTACGTCACTACTGGTACAGCTAGCCAGAGTGTTTGTTTGAAAATAATTGTTTCCTAATCAGATTTTTCCAATCAGTTTACAGTTGGTTAGGGTTAAGGGAAATACGTGAGTGTACTTCCCAACTAGAAGTCTGCAACAGTAAAACACCAGACTGCAAACGAATAACCACTTCCATGTAACAAACTGCATTTGGCCCACAACTATGACTGGTTCTAATCCCTTCAGTGACATATTTTCACAGGCAGCTTAATAAGACATTTATGTGTATATTCAGACCATGATAGCAGAGCTAGAGATAAAACCCAGAAATATTTATCTCTTCAAGGCCCACTCTTAACACATGTTGAGGAATACACCAGCAGGCTAAAATGCCCCTGCACCATTCATACCTTACTGTTTATAAACCCTCCATCTTTAGGGAAAATTAGACAGTTCTGTCACTAGAAAAACCTTAGGGCAGCTACAAGAAAACACTGGGACCAGTACTAAATTTGGTATCAACTCGGTGCTTCAGAATGAAGACGAGGGCAGGGGCTGTTACCCTATAGCAGAGTTGCCATAAAATATTTGCTACTGGGGACCTGCAGTGTGTTGTTAAGGCTCTGCCACTGCTTAGTCAGATCCGAGCTGGTTTAAAATTAATTAAACTTAAGGGCATGATTAGCTTTTTGGGACAGTACAGAGGTAGTACTGATAGCAAAGCATATATGGAAACTTTGTAAATGCTCAGCTCATCAGCCCATGCTAAAGTTACCGAAGAACGCACAAGACAAAGTTGTATTGCTTTTACACCGAGGTAATCTAGGGAACTAAAATAATGAAGCAGAGATTAAAAACGGAGGTGCAGTTAGTACTAGCTATTTGCAAAAACCCTTTTTGCATTTAGAGAGGGAAAGAAGTTCTCTCTGCAATACTGAAAGCTCAGAAAAGCTACAACAAACCAAAAAGGATGCCAGATGTGAAACGCTGCAGTGACACAATACAGCCTCCTCAGAATTTGGGCTCAGTGTTAAGATCACTCTATAACGAGACAGAATTCAGGGTCATCAAACCAGAGGGTGATCTGCACCCTCTGCTGACACAGGAGAGATACAGCAAGGCTGCCCTTTGCACCACGGAGTGTCAGTTCAGGCTTGAAGAAACTCGACCACAAAAAGGTTCAAATTCCACAGCCACACCCTCCCCTGGGTCATCACCAGACAGGCAATTTGAAAGACCCACTTCTCTGGCACTGTCAGAGGCCCTGCAAAGCTTTTCAGACAGGCCAGCACAGAAAAGTTTACGAAGTCCTTTAGCCACTGGGCAAGGTGGAGAAAGGGACACAGGGAATAATCCACAGTTCTTCTTCTCCCCACTAAATCACACACTTTTCCTTGTAGTGCAACTTTAAAGTTTAGATCTCTGGGAACTGAGGAAATGACTGACTTGAAATGTTTACCCCAGCACTGCCCTCATATATTTCTAATTAACCTGCTTCATAAGGTACCAGTCCCACACTTCCAGTGCAGGACTGTCTGTTGGGACAGAACATCATCACGATTAAATGACTGAGTACCTTCCAGCTTCTGTCGTTTACCACTTCTTCAACATTGAGCTCCGACTGCATCAATTTCAACTGCAGAAAGTAACAGAAAAAGAGATTATTGTTAAACGGGCCTCCCTGCAGCCTTCAGTATTTACTACCATTGCAACTTTCTAGCTCACAACCCCAGCACCAGGTGTGCATGCCTCCCAAAGGTGCAAACTAAAGGGCATGATGTGTAATCATCCTGAGAGCCTGGCCCTTCCATTCAGCCAATGCTCAGGGCAGAGGGAAGTCTGTAAAGGCACAGTGAAGGCAGACTCGAAATGCAAGCCCAGCAGAAGCAGCTGCTGATCACTAATGCTCTAGTCTTAAATATTGCCTGTCAAGATCTGCTAGCAATGAACTGATTAACATTAATGGCTTCACAGACATAAATCACTGCACCTACTTCAAGAACTCAGCACAGAGAATGCATGGGCTGGGGTTAGCTCTGCAGTCTTGAGGTGTCATTCTTGTACTATTAGAGTCATAGAGGGAGCTGGCAGGTTAGGACTGAACACAGATCTCAGATTCTGGATTCAAAATTAAGATCATAAAGAGACCTTCTCTACTTCCTTTGCTGCCTGTTCTGTGCACTGACCAAAAAGGGTTTGCAGTATGATCACATATGTTTGTGGGATCTGAACCAGTTAATATTTCATATCATCACAGCAGGATAAATCAGGTGTGCACAGAGGCAAAAGCTCCAGCAAGAACTACCACAATACACAGTTTGTGAGCACTCACTCAACCCATGAGAAATGTAAGAACCTCTTTGTGTTTTCACGTCTATTACATCTACTGTGTTCAGGTGACCTGCAGTAATTTGGCCCTGAAGTGACAGGAGGAGGTATAAGAACCATCTGCCACTTTTGCCCACATCTAGGATGTGTTTTTGTTGGGAGCCTTTAACACAACAGACTAAGGATCAGAGTTGATCCATTTTCAATACAAAGTTTCAATTAATCTTGGTGAACAGTGCAAGCCAAGACAAAAATCCCATCAAAAACCTTCCAAGTAAGATGTCCAGGCACACAGAGCAACTAGAGTTGTTAGGTGGACTTTTATCTACTCAACCAGACTTCAAACTGTTTGAAATAACAATCCAGC